CCGGCTGCTGGGGTTGGGGCAGCAGCTGGGCTCAGATACCTGAAGCCGCGCTGCTCGTGCTCGCCACCATCTGCCTCGCTCACGCGCTCACCGTTCTCTCGGGGCATTGGTCTGTGCACGCGCACTGCGCGCTCACCTGCACCCCGGTAAGTGCGTGCTCAGGAGCCCGACCCCCCGACACTGTGGCCTCCTGGTGGGGCCCAGCTGCAGCCTCAGCCGCCTTGTCTATGACTTGCTGGCCCGGGCGCCCTATCTTTTGGGACCTGGGTACCCTGAAGGCGCCTTGTCTACCCTTGGGGAGTAGGCTGAATTCTGATCCCGGTGCTGATTTGCTGTGTGGCCCTTGGTGTGGAATTCCTCCCTGATGTGGTCATTCAGATTTCAGAAGGTAATTTCCGTGAACGATTTAGCATAGGACCTAGCATCTGTCGCTTTTCGGTAGTGTTAGCTTCTGTACTAGGAGAATGCTGCGCTGGTTCCCTGGAAACAGTCCTGTCTGTCTGCTTCAACTTCGGTTTTTAGAGTGTGAGGCTAGACCTTCGGGCTGAGTTTTCGCTATCTGTGGAGTTTGAGCTCAGGACCAAGTCCTCTTCAGCGCTCAGCAACCTTCTATTGCTACAACCAATGAGAGCATGAAATACAGTTAATCACCTTGTTTAAGAGGAGCAGAAACTATTTGTGAGCGAGGGACATAACACTTCGGAGTCTCAGTATGTCTATATGAAAGGTGATGAAGACCGCTTGGAACAATAGCAAGGGAATTGGGAGTGAGTGAATACCAACATAGAACAGTTGCCATCTGACTATACCACCGTCCTCTGGACTTAACCTCAGGTGACCCTGACAGCATTTGAGCCATGGGCACTAAGATCAGCCAGCAAACCCCCTCTCTCATCCCAGGTGTGTGTTTGCCTTGAGAAGGGAAAGGGGCCAGCCATCAAGGGCTGCAGAAGAGACAGAAGCCCTAGGGACCAGCAGTTAGCGTAATGGCTATGTCGCTGGACTCCCATGTAGTCGACCACGGTTCAAGTCCTGGACCCGGTGGCTTAAACTCATGCCGGCACATGTACGTGTGTGCCCAAGATCCTGAGAGGAGAATGGAGGAGAAGGGATTGCGGCGTGGCCATCCTCCTGGGGGGTGATTTCTTACTTTCTGTCTCCCTATCTCGGTCTGTCTGGCGAGCGCACATGCCCTATAGCAAAAACCTCTAAATAAAATTAAAAAAAAAGAAGAAGAAGAAGAGACAGAAGCCCTGGTGTTTGCTTCCAAATATGGATTGAATTCTCATGCTCCTCTCTGGAGAGAGCCAATCCACACTCCCTTCCGATAAGACTTATCCCTGGAGAGGACTCAAACTTCTGAGCTGGGTGGTTTGCATTGGAGATCTCAGGCAGGGGTGCTTCAGCTCTTTTGAGTTTCAGTTTCCTCCTCCTGTAAAGTGAGACCGGTAACACCTACCCCGGGGGTGCCGTTGTGAAAAGAAGCTGAGATGGTATCTACCAAGCGCCAGCCATGGGGCCCCCACCATGTCACCCCTTGTACTTTTCTTCCATGGCGTTATCGGCATTCGTATTTGTGTGTATGTCATTATTTTCTGCCTGCTCCAGTAACCCATGAGTTCCCCCAAGGGCTAGCACTTTGTTTCTCAGGGTCACCACAATGCTCTGCTCAACCCCCCAGTGTGTCTCAGTCTAGCAGCACCGAATGCAACTCCCAGGCTCAGAGAGGTGCTCAATGAACTCCATTCATTCCCTACTGTGTCATGGGTGCTGGGGAAAACAGTAGTGAACAAAACGGGCAAAGCTCCCTGCCTTCCTGACGTTAGTGGGCAACAGAGCTTATCCTCAGCACTTAATGTTGAAGAGAGGGAAGGTCAGGACAAGGAGGGAATGTTGCCCAGGAACTGTAGATGGGGGCTGCTGAGAAGGGCTCCCGATTAGGTGACTTTTTTTTTTTCCTTTTTTTTTTCAAGAGAGGTTTGGGGGGTTTTTTGTTTGTTTGTTTGTTTGTTTTTTGCTACAGGGCACATGCACTTGCCAGACAGAGAGACAGAAAACGAGAAATCATCCCCCAGGGGGGATGGCCACGCCTCAATCCCTTCCCTTCTCCTCCATTCTCCTCTCGGGATCTTGGGCACACACGCACACGTGCCCGGTGTGAGTTTAAGCCACTGGATCCAGGACTCGAACTGCAGTCGACTACATGGGAGTTCAGCAATATAGACATTATGCTAACTGCTGGTGCCCGGATTAAGTGATATTTGAGGAAAGGCCTGAGGGCCACAAGGGAGCTGGCTGTGTAAATGCGAATTCCAGGCAGTGAAAACAGCACATGCAGAGGCCCTTGGCTGAGGCATGGATGAGCCTCAAGATTGAGGGTCCTGTACGAGAATGGCAGGAGGGAGAGGCAGAGTGGGGAGCTGCAGGAGGTCGGGTGAACTTCGTGATGGGGTGTGGCTTGTGTGAATCGAAGGCAAATGGGTTCCTGGTTATAGTCTTCCTCTTGAACCCTGGACATGGGGTGCTGCCTGTGGCCCCAGCTTTACTACATGGGACCAGAGACCCAGCAAGGTTGTGTCCCTTGTCTCCATGACAGACAGGGGAGTGGTCAATCCAGCCCTGGTGTCCAGCGGCATGTTCTAGAACATGCCCTTGGAGCTGCCGTGCCCACAACCTCTCCAGCAGAGGCCATGGGACCATGAGCTGCGAAGGGCTCAGCAGCAATGCTTTGCCTCTGGCAGGAATACAACCCCAGCAAAGCGACCTTCGTGAAGGTGGTCCCGACCCCCAACAATGGCTCCACCGAGCTCGTGGCCCTGCACCGTGACCAGGTAGGGACTGTCTGCTGGGCTGCTCAGTGCAAGGGCTTGGGTGGGAGGCCCAGGTGCTGGCATCCCCAGGTCAGGCGCCTCTGCTGCAAACACACCATCTACCACAGGGTGAAGATGGCCTTGAGGTGCTGTCCTTTGAGTTCCAGAAGATCAAGTATTCTTACGACGCCCTGGAGAAGAAGCAGTTCGTCCCTGTGGCCTTTCCTGTTGGAAATGCATTCTCCTACTATCAGGGCAACAGAGGGTTTCAGGAAGACTCGGAGATCCGAGCAGCCGAGAAGAAATTTGGGAGCAACAAGTGAGTTCCCAGCTTCCCTGTGACTCCTTTTGTGTTTCTGCCCCACCTCTGTCCCCAATTCAGAGGGCCTGGGAAGGGAGATGGAGGAATCTACCTTTTTAGCCGAACATGGCACCCTCTGACAAACACACTCTGGTCTAGTCTCCCCAGACCTTGCCTGCTGAGGATAGGAAGCCCCAGAGAGCCTGTAGCGCAGACTTGCAGTGTGAGACCATGAGTGGGTGGCTCCTAGGACCCTGACCTAGACTTGATAGTGGGTATTCATTCTTCTTCTGTTACTAATGTAATTCTTCTGCTTTTCTGTCTTTTTTTGAAGAAGAAGAAGTTTTAGCTATAGGACATGTGCACTTGCCAGAAAGACAGAGAGAGAGAGACGACAGAAAGTGAGAAATCACCCCCCAAGTGGGATGGCCATGCTGTAATTCCTTCTTCTCCATTCTCCTCTTGGGATCCTGGGCACGCACATACACATGCCCAGTGTGAGTTTAAGCCACCGGGTCCAGGACTTGAACTGCTGTCGGCTACGTGAAAGTTCAGCGACATAGCCATTACACTAACTGCTGGTCCCCTTTCAGAATTTTTTTAAGAATTGCTTACTGGGGCTGGCAGGTGGTTGGGGGTGCTGGACTCCCACATGGCCAACCGTGGTTCGGGTCCCAGACCTGGTGGTTTGCTTTCTCGCTTTCTCTCTCTCTCTCTCTCTCTCTCTCTTTTTTCTCACTCTGTCTCTCTATAGGTCTGGTTTCTTCCAAGGTCTCTCTCTTTGGGTTGCAGTTGTCCAACTTCTCCTTATGTCTTTTCATGGTCTTTTCTCTGTATACGCCTTTGTCCAAATTTCCTCCTCTTACAAATATACCGGTCTTACTGGATTAGAGCCCAGCCTGATTATCTCATTTGAATTTACTTATTTCTTTAAAGATCCTATTTCTAAATATGGCCACATTCTGACATGATGGGGATTAGGAATTCAACATATGTATTTGGGGGGAACAACTCAGCCTATAACAGTGGCTTCAATGAATATCATACAAAAGATCAGGACAGAATGCTTCCAAAATGCAGGAGATTTACCAGACTTAAGGCAGATAAATTTAGAGAAAGGAATAAGACTAGAAACTTCAAACTGGAAAAAAAAAAACTAAAATAAAAAAATCTTTAAAAAAAAAAAAAAAAAGAATTACTTATTTTGGCCAGCAGGTGGCTTAGTGGTTGTGGTGCCGGACTCTTAGACGCTCGACCGTGGTTCAAGTCCTGAACTAATTGGTGCTTGAAAGTCACTCCAGGCACTTGTGAGTGCATGCCCAAAATCCCAACAGAAGAATGAAGAAGGGATTGTGGCATGGCCATCCCTTGGGGGAGGGGGGGTTTCTCACTTTCTCTCTCTGTCCCTCTGGCAAGT